TCGGCAACAAGAGCAGACGCAGCAGTGGACTCAAAAGAGGGGTCAGTGACGACAGTAGGAAGGAGACGCGTGATAGTAGGACTGGCAGCACGAAGAGAGTCCGACTCCGGGTCGGCAAGGGCAGGAAGAGAGGACTCAGGAGGAGAAGGCAAAGGGGCACGCAGAGGAGCAGTGGACGGACGCAGAGACATCCAGTGCGTGCCAAGGACAGGAGGAGGACGCTGACGCGAACCGCGACCACTAGCGCGAGCAGCACGAACCGGCGACGCAGGACGAGACGCAGGCTCAAGACGCTCAGCAAGACCTCCAGTAGGACCAGTGTAGGGAGAAGGAGCAGGCAGTGGGGAGGCCGGCGGTAACTGTGACTGTGACTGGACAGGCGGTGGACACTCTAAGGGAGGAGGAAGACCAAGAACCTGCTGAAGGAGCGGAACAAAGTACGGCCGAGGCCGTGCGGCGACTCCAGACATAGCAGGGACAGCACCAGCACCCCCAGTGGCAGCACCAGCGCCAACAGCACCTCCAGCTCCAGTACCTCCAGCAGCACCAGCAGCAGGACCGCCGCTAGGACTGACAGCAGTAGCCTCAGCGCCAACACCCTCAGCAGCTCCGACTCCAGTCGCACTCACAGGCCCAGCAGCTCCAGCACTCCCAGGGCTAGCACCTCCGAGACCGGCGGTACCAGCACCCTCAGCAGCCGAAGAAGCACCAACTCCAGTAGTACGCCTCCAGCGCCGGGCAAACCACTCGCGCAGCTCCTGTGGAGAGAGTGGCTCCCGCCGAGACGAAGCACCCGGAGAACCACCAGGCCCAGCACCGCCAGACGCCACACGAGCAGGTCCAGCGGCCGTGGGCTCCGCACCCCCAGGCTCAGCAGCTCCAGACTCAGTACCCCCAGGCTCAGCAGCTCCAGACGCAGCACCCCCAGGCTCAGCAGCTCCAGACGTAGCACCCCCAGGCGAAGGACCCCCAGGCTCAGCACCCCCAGTCGTAGCACCCCCAGGCTCAGTACCCCCAGGCTCAGCACCCACTCGCGCAGCACCCCCAGAGTCAGCACCCCCAGGCTCAGCACCCGCAGCAGTACCAGAGTCACCAGCAACCTCGACCGGCGCGACTGCGTCTACCTGGGACACATCTGAAGGGGCAGGACCCTGAGGGGGGAGGGGGTCTACCTGGGGGGGACCTGGCACAAGGAAGTGCGGCGGCGGGGGGAGGGAAGGAGTGCGGTAGGGGAAGAGACGGTAGTAGGGGACCGACTCGTCAAACGTGACGTCCTGGGAGGACAGAACACGATGAGAGGAGGGGTGGTAGAACTGCCACCCTGGTGCGTCAGGGGGGAAGCCAAGGAAGACACAAGGAGCAGCACGAGGGGACAGTTTGTCCGCAGACAAGTCGCGGACAAACGCCCGAGATCCCCAGACACGGAACGCAGACGCATCGCCTACCTTCCCCGTCCACAGCAGAGCTCGGGAGGTCTCCGGCATGGAGACCCTGGGGTGAAGGTTGATCTGATGCGCCGCGTACCGAACCGCAAACGGCCACAGAAAATGGGGGGCACCCGCATGCATCATGGACGTACGAGCGACGTCCATGACCATGCCAATGCGGCGCTCAGCAATCCCATTTTGCTGTGGAGAGTCCAGAAGCGTAAAGGTCTGGCGGATGCCTCGCGCACGGTAGTAGGCTCGCAGAAGGCCAGAGGAGAACTCTTCGCCTCGGTCAGAGTGCAGACGCAGAACAGGAAAGTCCGAGCCGAAACCCTTGGCGCTGAACTCAGCAGGAAGCGCGGCGCGGTAGCGAGTGTCACTAGTGCGGAGGTGCGTAATGAGGTCAGCGACTGTGGGAAAGGCAGCAAGGTCAGGAAAGAGGTACGGTAGCATGAGGCGGCTCAGTGCAGCAGTGGCAGGGGAAGAGTAGCGTGCAACTACAGCGTCGTACAAGGTATGAGGACTCTTGTACTGACTAAAGTGCGCGCGCTCAGTGGTAGGCAGGTGGCGACGCACAGCAAGACGTGCAGCAGCATCGCGCGTGGCCCACTGGGAGCGAACAGTGGGGTCAGCATCAGCAGCAGGGGCAGGAGAGGAGCCAGAGGTGAGTTCAAAGAGGGAGAGACCGTCTGCCCTATCGCACTATAGGAAAAGTTGCAGGTCATCTACCCAAACCTCAAAGTCAATGGCTCGACCCTCAACGTCAAAAGCGAGAACACTGGGGGTAGCTATGACAGCAGTAGACTAGCAGTACCAACTGTAGGACAGGGGCAGTGTAGTGACAGAAGCGCTGCTCTCACCAGACAGGGCGGGTCGGGCAGCTCAGCAGTACAGCAGCACGGCAACACGGGTGCTCGGACGGCACAGCAGCAACTGCGGCTCCGTGGCACCAGCGGCTCGGCTCCTCAGGCGGCTCGGGCGGCTCAGGCGGCTCGGGTGGCTCGGGCGGCTCGGGCGGCTCAGGTGGCTCGGGCTGGTCGGGCGGCTCGGGCGGCTCGGGAGAGTCGGGCGGCTCAGGCGGCTCGGGCGGCTCGGGCAGGTCGGGCGGCTCGGGCTGCTCGGGCGGTTCGGGCGGCTCGGGCGGCGCGGGCGGTGTAGGGCGGCAGGGCCGCTGGTGAAAGGGGCGGCGGGGCCGCAGGTAAAGGGCGGCGGGGCCGCTGAGAAGGGCGGCGGGGCCGCTGAGAGGGGCGGCGGGGCCGCAGTAGAAGGGCGGCGGGGCCGCTGAGTAGGGCGGCGGGGCCGCTGAGAAGGGCGGCGGGGCCGCAGTAGAAGGGCGGCGGGGCCGCTGAGTAGGGCGGCGGGGCCGCAGCGAGAGAGGCGGCGGGGCCGCAGTGAAGGGCGGCGGGGCCGCTGAGTAGGGCGGCGGGGCCGCAGCGAGAGAGGCGGCGGGGCCGCAGTGAAGGGCGGCGGGGCCGCTGAGACGGGCGGCGGGGCCGCTGAGACGTGCGGCGGGGCCGCAGCGAAGGGCGGCGGGGCCGCAACGTGAGGCGGCGGGGCCGCAGTGAAGGGCGGCGAGGCCGCGAAGAAGGGCGGCGGGGCCGCTGAGACGGGCGGCGGGGCCGCAGCGAACGGCGGCGGGGCCGCAATGTGAGGCGGCGGGGCCGCAGCGAGGGGCGGCGCGGCCGCGAAGAAGGGCGGCGGGGCCGCAATGTGGGGCGGCGGGGCCGCAGCGAAGGGCGGCGGGGCCGCTGAGAAGGACGGCGGGGCCGCTGAGAAGGGCGGCGGGGCCGAATCGACGGGCGGCGTGGCCGCTAGGGCGTTGGGGGGCCGCTAGGGCGGCTCGAAGAGTTGAGAGCCCGGAGCGCGACTCGAGCTGAGCGCGCTTCGGGCAGGAAAAAAAAAAATCGATTTGGTGGGCCCTAGGCACAGTTCCCATGGGGGAACCTGCTCGATACCATGAGAAAAGTAGAACGAGAATGAAGGACTATGGAATGAAAGTGATACAAATATGCAACCCTAGAAATGTGTACCCCATATGGGCTACCCCACTAAAGCCTAGACAACATTATAATTTGACACGCTTTCGTAACCGTTTACAGATACTATTTTTGGGTCGTAATTTTGGATTGTGGTCACATTCGCAACGCCTAATTATGGATATGATTATGGACTGGTGAAAGTCGTTATTGGAGCCGCGTAATGAGAAAACCGTAACGGAGAGGGCTGGCGAGAGTGGCCTTTTCCCCCTTTTACCCCCTTCTCCCGCTTTCCCTTCCCTCCTCCTTCCGTCCCCCCCCCCACCCCCCCCCCCCCCCGCTCTTCCCTTGACTTTACCTAGAAACGTCACGCATCCTTCATCCCCCAACCTCCTTCCTCATCTCCCCCTCTCTCCCCTCATCTCCCCCGTTCTCCCCTCATCGTCAGCGCTCTCCCCTCATCTTTCCTGCTCGTTCCTCACCTCCCCCGCTCTCCCCAACCCCCGCTCCCCATGCCCCACCCCCCCCCCGCCCCCCCATCTCCCCTCATTTCCTTGCGTGCTTTGCTTATCTCTACGCTCTTCCTTGCCCCGTTTTTTGCACCCACCCTTCATCTCCCCACCACTCTCTGCCTCCCCTCCTCTTCTCACATCCCCCCACACACCCTTCATCTCCCTTCCCTCCCTCCCCACCGCCCCCCCACTCAACCGTCATCTTCCTCCTCTCCCTTCCCGCAACGTTCTCTCTTCCCCCCCGCCCTTGCCTTTCCTCAGCTCACCCCTCATCTACCCCGCCCATTCACTCCTCATTACCTTCTCATATCCCCTCCCTTCAGACCCCTTTTTGTACGAATCGCCACAGGAACAAGCCTTTGGCGACTCTGCTGCGGATTCCGCAGATAGAGTAGTAACCCCACCGTGCTGAGGGTACATTCGTTGAGAACAAAGCCCAACTGCATTGTGCTAATACCTCTTATATAACTCCTTACCGTATTTTTATTATTCATACCACCAGTTCCAGTCAAAGATCTTCCAGCAGCCATCATCCCATTCGCCATCCCTTCCACCACCACCACCATAGTGAGGAAAGCACCTGGGGTGTGTATGGGGAGGGTGGGACAAGATTAGGTGAAGGGAAAGCTCAACAGGTGGCGTGAGATCTTTCAGTGTCTACATTTTGTTGAATATGGTTTGCTTGCTACAGTATTTGTGCCCACCCATACTGTAACACACTTGTTGAAAGGTGTTGTAGGATTATTGTTGTGAGCCCTGAATAAAACATACCCACATCTGCGCATTGCCAAGCCAAAACAAACAACCTACAGTACGACTAAAAATCAAGAGATCCGACATGACTACCCTGTCAAACAAGAAAAAATCGTGGTAGCACCAGCTAAATGCAGAATATGCAATTGTGTGCACATCTGCCATGGCTTCCCACTTCTGCCGCAGCAGTCACTGCCCTCCACATCCCCTTCCACCCCCTGCTTGAAACCCACAACCGCTGCTCACCACTGCCAAAACCACCTGAAATCCCTCCCCCCCCTCACCCCAAACTGCTGTTTATCAGAGCACAACAACACACTGGATCAGACAATTCAAGCAGCCCCCAGCGAGGGAAACTGAGTCTGATCCGCTATCTCGACTGCTTGCTGCTGCTGCTGCTGCTGCTGCTGCTGCTGCTGCCCTCCGCGTCCCCCACGGCCCCCACCACGCCCCCTGCCTCCACCACGGCCGCCTGAGCGCCGGGGGTTGAAGGTGCTGCCGTCTGTTGGCTTGAGGAAATCGTTAATGTTGACAGTCTGAGCGGGGGGGATGGGAGGATAGGATCGGAGGTGAGAAGATCGGTGGATTGGAGGAAAGGATGTAAAATGCGGTGCAGTGGGGTGACGAGGGGTGGAAAAGGGGCAGAAGGCGAGGACAAAGACTAGACTGCCTTGAAAAGGCAATAAAGACAGAATGAGCACAAAGAGTGGTTTAGATTGAAAGCCATCTACCATGCTTTGAATGTGTGAGGAGTGCACTGTACATGAGAGGGAAAGAGGAGAGGGAAACAGAAGGAAAACCCAACCAGTGAAAGTGTGAGGATATCACAGTGGGATACCCAACCAGTGTTTCTGTGTTCCAAGACCCGAGCCGAGCATACCCCAAGAGTGATACCTTTCAGAAAAACCCAGAACCCAGCCCGTACACACGAGGAGACACATCTTCGTACGGCTTACCTTGGGCCTGTCTTCGTCGTCTGTCTTCTCCCGCTTCTTCACAGCCTTGTCAGCGGCCTGCAAGGAGCGGAGAAGGAAAGTTAAGTTTCAAGGGTACAGGAGGGGCAGGGAGGGAGAACGGAGGGAGAGACGAAGGCGGGAGTGAGCGAGAATGAGCGAGGTAAGAGAGGAAACGAGTTGAGGGGAAAGAGATTAAGGAAGTGAGTAAGGGATGCAGTGAGCAAGGTAAGGGAGCGGGGAGGAGGGGGGGAGGGAGCGAGAGAGCGAGGGAGGGAGCGAGCGAGAAAGGAGGAAGACAGGACGAAGTGCAGCGTGACACACGAGTTTGACGAAGACAGCGTCCTCATCGACGTCCTCCTACTTGTACACCGCCATGGCCGCCATCTCAAGAGCGAAGCGAGCGAGCGAGCGAGCGAGGGAGCTAGGGAGCGAGGGAGGTGTTTTCTTACGAGTTTGACGAAGACAGCGTCCTCATCGACGTCCTTCTTCTTGTGCACCGCCATGGCCGCCATCTCCGGGTCAACCTCCACCTTGCGCGCCTCCGCCGTGCGGCTCGCCGCCAGCGCCTTGCGCTTCTCCTCGCGCACCTTCTCGTACTCCTCCAGGGTCATCTCCTGATGGATAAGCAGGAAGGGGTAGAGGGTGGGAGGGAAGGACGATAGAAGAGTGAGCGGCGTACGATGGCTTGTGCTTCACCCTACTCGTCTTGCTCTCCAGCTCTGCAGCCCGGAGACAAGTGGCACGGGAAATGACGGAAATCTCGTACTAGCTTCGTTTAAGTTCTGCGGTGAAGAGTGCGTTTGAGAAAGTTAGACAAAAATGCAGCGTTCAGGGCGGTGGACGGGTGGAGCAGCGCACGTGGCTCCGAACTGAAAGACGCCCAATGCATCGGGTTTTGGGGACAACATTATTGGATGGGGAGCACAGGGCAAACGCATCAAACCTTGTAAACGCACAAGGTCAATCGTATGAAACACGAGTCACGGCTCACCTTGTCCTCCTCCTCAGCAGGGGCGGCCTCAGCGGCAGCCTCTCCCGCAGCAGCATCGCCCTCAGCAGCAGCCGCCTCTCCCTCCGCCGTTCCGTTGGCCTGCTTGACCTCGCCTTCCTCGCCCGTCTCCTCCTGATCGCTGTAGGGCAAGCAGCACAAACAATGTACCAGCGGGTGAGGAAATGGCACAGGGCGGAACTATTAGCGACACTTGTGACGTATCGGGACGGAGGTTTAACGAAGGTAAAGAACACTCCTCCACAGCAGTCGCCGCATTTGCCGGTCTGATGGACAACGGAGCAAGCGAAACGAAGCGGGCAGTAGCATCAGCGAAAAATTGACCTCATAGAAGAGCAAAAGCCCTTCTCAACGTATATTTAAGCTCTTAACGAGCGACATCACGCGCTACTGCATGTTTGCACATGACTTCACGAGATTGACTGCTCTAAATGAGTAGCTTCCTGTGCCAATGAATGTTTGTCGAAACGGCACCCATGACGGCGCCAACAGAAACTAAGGTAGCAATGAAGGTAGATAACAGTAGAAGCTGTAAGGTGTAGTAGCATCAGGAAAAAGGTGTGCTCAGTAAAGAGCAAGCGCTCTTTTCAACGTATATTTAAGCTCTTGAAGAGCGACATCATATGCCACTGTAAAGAAAGCTACGGAGCTCATAGAAAGGAATGTGAGTAACAGCACCTGGGACAGGAAGAAATAGAGACACCGAAAACACTCTACATAATCTAAATACAAGGAAAAAACCCACAACGACGACCAGACTCCAACGGACGTACCCCGTTTGCGGCACCTCGTCGGCTCGCCCCCAGTTGCCGCGTCCGGCACCGTCGCGCTTCATCTCGTGGCTGCAGATCGAATCAATGCAAGAAGAGAACAGGAAAAGAACCCGAGAAACGTCACTTGATTAGATCGTCGACGATTAGGTGATAATCGAACCTAGCCGCTTGTTCATTTCCAAGCATCGTCGTGTAGCCAAGAACTCACCCACGGCCAGTGCCGCTGTGCCTATCGAATTCCCGACGAGGTCCCCTCCGCTCCCCGTCGCCTCCCCGGGAACCTCCGCCAGAACGACCGCGACCGCCATAGCCGCCACCACCGCCGCCGCCGCCACCACCACCGCTGCGGATTCCGCCACCGCCGCCGGACACCTCGCCGTCCTCTCCGCGCAGCTGTCGGTTCCTGTATGGCTGTCCGCCATCCTGGCCCCCCTCCGCGGGGTATGAACCCCCCCGTCCGCCTCCCCGTCCGCCTCCACCACGACCTCCGCCTCTTCCAGCGCCGGCTCCGCGACCGGCGGCTGGCGCAGCAGGTGTGGGCTTCGCGGCGGCTGCTGTCTTAGCAGCAGGCTTGGAATCTGGATGGAAAAAATCGACGAGACCGCAGAAAAAAAGAACCTCAAGGTTGTCAGATTGATCAAATGCAACCCTGCAGTTGTATGAATACGGTGAAAAGGCGGCTGCAACAGTGACTACATTGGTGGATACCTTTCTTAGGAGCAGCTGCTGCTTTCTTGGCTTGTTCCTCCTCAGCGCGAGCCAAGAAGACCCCCGGATCCTCTACTTCGTCTCCCCCCAAAAGGGAGAAGAAGTTTGCTGACGCCATTTCTACCAGAGATAAGCTAAGCTGTAGCTGTTGTATCAGCTAATGAAAGATAAAACTACTAAAATCCTCCGATCATGAGCACAAAAATCACAAAGTTTGTTTAGAGTAAAAAAGCAAGTAATACCTACTCCGGGAGTAAATATTTAAGTTAACCTAGGAGATTTCTATTGAGCTCCCTAAGCCTAAGGGAGGAAGGAAATGGGCAAGGATTCTAAAAGAAATCCAGGAAAGAGGAAAATGTAAGACATGGTGCTGAGAAATATTCGAGCTGGTCTGATGGGGATGGAACGGGATGGGAGGAAAGGGGGGAGGGGGGAAGGATGACAAGGGGAAGGAAGGGGTGCGCAAGAGCATTTGCGAACCAGAAAACCAGGGGAAGGGGAGGGAGGGGTTGAACCAGGGGGTGTTCTGCGCCGAGTAGCGGTGTTCTGCGCCAATTAGCGAACTGGCGCTGATGAGCTGACGCTGGCGAGAATCTGTGTCATCCACATCCAATTACAGGCCACATTGGACCTGGTGGGGCCATTGGGCTGATAATGACAGCACTCCTCAATCATGGGAGAGCCACGTCAACAAATGGATGAGATTTCTGGGTTTCTGCAATGTAGAGATGTATTGCTGTTGACGAGGACAGAACAACTACACTGATGAGAATGCTCATTACAGTATTCCTAAAACATGTTGATCCAATTCGCAATAATGAATGTGTTGATTCACTGTGGCAGGTCCCAATTTCAGATATCCGTCAAAGCGTACGGACGTCGCATGAGAGCGCGCACATGCTCACGACAAAGTCACACTTGTTTCGCAAACAGCCTGCGTAACACGCCTGAACCGAAACCGCGGCAGGTCGCGTCACGCATACTTGTCGTGCCATGCCACATTGAGGGCATCCCCGTTAGGATGTGGGCCCAATAGAGTTTGATCGCCTCGATCAGAAGCGTTCAACAACTTCGAGGAAGCCTGGAAGCCAATTTCATGCAATCGGGGGCAATCAGCTGATCACGATCAGCTGATCGCCCCAACTCAATCACACCAGATTTTACCCCGATCAAACTCGATTTCGCTCAATCACCCTCGATCAGTTGATTGCATGTGATCGAGGGCCATAACGACGGTTGCGAAGAGTTACACTGCTGAACTTAATCTCGTGAACTCCTCGCTCATGCATGGCACATCGCGAGAACTCTCCAGGGGTTGACGATATTACAGGGAAACAAATGTGTTCGCCAGGTGACATTCGGTCGCCAGTCTCACGTGAGCTGGATGAGAATTTCCACGTAATGTTCCTGCGTTTGACAAGCAACAGCTCTAAAAGCTCGACGAAAAACATCGCTGATCCGGCGGCTCGAGCAAAGTGATCACAAGCAATCCGATCCGATCAGATCAGAGCCGATCAGACCCGATTGGGCCCACGTCCTTAGTGCCGCCATCTTGTTCAATATTCATGTCCAAAAAGTTTGCGACTGCCCCACTGTACTTTCATGCCGATTTCAGGACTTTCCGAAGTAGAAGCACTACCATACAGAAAGTTCTCGAATGTTCGTCGATTTGTATGGTTCCACCTTCGCTGACAATCACCACCCTGGGAAGTGAGGGGGCAATTCTGAACAAGCCGGAACAACACCCAAGGCTCCCATCCACATCCACCTCTGCTTCCAGCACCACATCCTTGGGAACCTGTCATTCCATTCCATTCTCTTGACCCACTTCAGTGGTTGTGTTTTGATCAACTCCCTCTTCCATGCATCTTTGCTTCTGTCTTTCTGCGTATTCGTGCTCACAGCTTTTATATTCAGAATGATTCCGAATTCCCAGTTACAGCGTAAGTAGTTGTTATGGACGGTCACGATGGATCGCCTGGGCTTTCGTCCCACTGTACTCACGTCTGGCCGCAAGTCGTCTTTCAAAATGACGGTCGCTGTCGTTCCGCTAGGTCGAACAGCCAGTCTGGTTTTAACCTTAATTCTTCTGCTGTGCTGGGGCGACGTTCAGCTCTCGCCCGCGTTCCTCGGCGGCAATTTCGACCCGAACCGCACGTTCTTCTCACAGCAGCTGCAGCAGAAGCACCAGCAGCGCGGCCGAGCAGAGGCATGCGTGGAGCAAGGCAGAGCGACTTGCCCTAGTGCCGCAGCCAGTAGCGCAGCGGGGATCACGGAAAGATCACCCGAAGTTCTCAGCGAAGGCAGCACTTACCACGAGAATTACAGATCGCCGCTGGTGCTTCCGCTACAGGGGTTGACGACCTCGTTGAATCTCCTGCAAGTTCTACTCTTCGGGTTTGAGAGCTGCTTTAGCTCTAGTTTGCGCGATTGCGCATCGCATCAAGGAAAGCATGTATTTTTTACGTCATCCCTTTCAAGTCCTTCGACCCCAGAAGTGGGAAGCCGAGAAACGGGCGAGCCACGGCCGGGAGTCGCGCAGCAGCAGTCGAGAGGCACGGAGCAGAGAAGCCAGAGCGGCGCGGCGAGGATTCAGGCTGATGGTGATACGGAGATACCGCACCCGCAGGGAATTGCTGAGGAAGCAGTAAAATTGGATGTGGTCGAAGCAACGGGTTCAAGAAAGGTGGCGGAGCCTTTGTCAGAAGCCACGGGTTCGGCTACTATCGAGGGTTCGGGGCAAGTTGGCGGTGCTGCGCCGGTAGATGCGGGCGCAATTGCGGCGCAAGCGGGTGCGGCGCAAGCAGGGTCCCCAACAGAAGCTGGGCCGCGCAGGACTGGGCGTCAAGAGGCGGCGCTTGGGGCAAGCGGCGCAGGGGAGCCGGGAAAGGTTGGGGGAACTGTGGGGGAAGGAAGAGAGGAGCGGCCCGTAGCGGGAGCAACGGCAACGGTAGATCCCACAGTAGCAGATACAGCAGCTGCGGGAACTGCAGCAGCGGAAAGAGCAGCAGCAGAGACAGCAGCCGCAGCGGAAGCAGCAGCAGGAGCAGCTGCTGCAGCGAAAGCCAGCCAAGCAGAGTCTTTCTTTGACGACGATGACGCGGAATCTGCGCGGCCAGTGCGCGTGATCCCCCCCGGGCTAGACGCGTACAAGCGGGAATACTTTAACAAACAGAGGGCGGCGGAAGGAAACGAACCCATCGCGGGGGTGATCCCCGCGGGAGTGCCCATCCCCCCTTCGGGAGTAGCGTACGCTGGCGCGGTGCCAGGCGCAGCAGGCGGAGCAGCTGGCGGAGCTTCCGCCAGTGTACCCGCGGATGCGGTCGCCCCCGCGGGGGGCGCAGTCCATGCGCCTGGCGCTGGTTTTCCGCCCATGGGAGGAGGGCAGATAGTAGGCGGCGCAATGGGAGGGGCGCAGCTGGGGGAAGTGGTTGATATGGGGGGAATTGGCGGAGGGATGGGGGGGATGGGCGGAGGGATGCGCGGGGGAATGACAGGCGGAATGGTGGGCGGAATGGGTGGTCAACCACCGGAATGGCCTCGGAGGAGACAGACGGGCACAGATAAAAGTAGGTACAACTATGCCTCCGCGAATCACGGTGCCAAAATTGTGGACTGCAGCAGTGAGGCGAAACGACCCCAGGCCGTTTTAGACGAGGATAAGGACAAGTACTTACGCATCCCGTGCAGTGTAGCGAACAAGTTCCTCGTTATAGAGCTCTCTGAGTTCCTAGCGCGGATAGAAACGATTGTACTAGCCAATTACGAGTTCTACGCCTCTTCCACAAAAGACTTTGAAGTCTGGGCGAGCAGAAATTACCCCTCGGATCGTTGGCACTTTCTGGGAAACTTCTCAGCGCAGAGCGTGCGGACGCCCCAGGCGTTCGAGGTGACAGGCAGCGGAGATCTAGGGGATTCAGTGCGGTACGTAATGGTGCGGCAGCTGTCGCACCACGGGGCGGAATTCTTCTGTACGCTGAGTCTGGTGCGAGTGCACGGGGTGAATGAGCTAGATGGGCTCAGGGAGGAGATGGAGGCAATGACTAGGATGATGGGGGCGGGCAGGCAGGCCATGCCTGCTGCTCCTCCGGGCAGGCAGGGTGTTGCTGCTGCTGCTGCTGCGCCGACGCTACCGGTGGTTCCTCAGGCGGTTATCGCTCCAGTGGTTACCACTCCTCAAGCGGTTACCATCCCTCAAGTGGTTACCACTCCTGAAATGGTTACCACTCAAGAGGTTATCACTCCACAAGTGGTTACCATTCCCCATGTGGTGACGGTGGGGTCTGTGGGCTTAGATGATTCAGTGGGTTCAGAGGGTTCCAGAGCGGTGCCAGCCCAGGCAGAGGGGTCTGATCCACCGTCCACTGTTGGACCTTCTGAGCAATTGCCGCCACTCTCTGTGCCCGCCGCTGCAGAAGCAGCAAGCGCTGCTGCTCCCACAAGCTCTGCCTCTTTTCATGAATCTTCCCAACCCGTCCAGACTCCCCATCCTCTTCCTGCCTCTCCGCCTCCCCCTCCTGCTGCTCCTTCTGCTGCTCCTCCCAAAGATGCGGCCGCGTCTACAGCTTCTCCTGCTGCGGCTGCTGCAGATGCGCCTGTTGCCACTTCCAGTGAGTCAGCAGGCGCTCCAAGCAACACAGGGGCGAGTGAGGAACCTGGGAGCACAAGGGGCAGCATGGCCGACAATGGGAGTTCCACAGGTGCACCTGGCGCCATCGCACAACCACCAGCTTCTGGCTCTGTCCCTTTGGGAAACTCGCCTGCTGCGGAAGCTGCCAGTGGGAAGGCCGAGGAGCAGTCTGGTGGGAGCAGTAGAGTGGGCGTAGAAGGAGGAGAAGAGGCAGGTGTGGTGTATGGGGGGGTGGAAGAGCGAGGTGGGTTGATCCAGCGCGGTACTGAGAGGGAGGGGGGAGGGAGCAGCGAGGGCAGCAGGGAAGGCAGCAGTAGAGTGGTGCCTGAGGAAGGAGTGGATTCGGTAAGGAGTATTGGTGGCAGTGGCGGCAGGAACAACATCAGTGGTAGAGGCAACGTCACGAGCGGCAGTAGCAGCACAGGGGACAGTGGTAGCAGCAACGCCACCACAGGGAGCAATGGAGGCTCGATTCAGAGCAGGGGGGAAGTGGAGGGGAGGGAAGCGGAGAAGCTGATGATAAGTACGAAAGCAAAGGGGACAGTTGACAAGGGGAGTGTTGAGGGGAAATCTGGTGCGGTTGCGGCAGGTGAAGCGGCTGGGGAGGAGGGGAGGACGGGGGGAAGGCATGGGGTGGGCAGGTTGGGAGAGGGAGAGAGTGAGAAGCTGGCTGGGAAGGGAGAAGGTGCAGGATGTGCGTCTGTGGATGGAGTAGCAGGGCACAGGGGAGCAGCAGCGGGGGCAGATGCTGCTTCTGGGTGTGATGCTGGGGGAGGTGTGGAGATGGGTGCGGCTGTGGTAGGAGACGGTTCCAATGTAGAAAGGGCACGTTCTGAGGCAGGCGTGGGGGCAGGCGTGTGGGCAGGCGCTGAGGCAAGCGTTGAAGCAGGCGCTGTGGCAGGTGGTGAGGGAGGTGGTGGGGGAGGTGGTGGGGGAGGAATAGGGGAGGTGAAGCGTGAAGGCGGATTTTCAGCACCAGTGAGCGGAGAAGGTAGTGAGAAGCTTTCTTCTTTGGAGGAGGAGGTGACAGGAGCTTCAGAAGGGCGAGAAGCGAAGGGAGGGAGTGGGGTGGAAGGAGGAAGGGAAGGCAGCGGGGCGGAGGAGGAGCAGAGTGATTCTGGTGGTGATGGGAGTGAGCCGGCTAGACGAGAGTTTGGGGGAATGAGAGAAGCTGAGGGGGGAGATTTGAAGTTGCTGGGTAAGGGATTAGGTTCGGATGAGGCTAGACACGTGGCAGGGGAGAAGCAGGAGAATGTGGGGGATGTGGGAAGGGGAGTGAGAGAGGAAGTGGGCGAGGGTAAGGAGGCTCGGTTGGGGAGAGGCGAGTTGGAAGCAGCCGTTGGGGATGGCAGAGGCTCGTCTCTGACTGGTTTAGTTAAAGGAGAAGAGAAGGCAGAGGCAGAGGCAGAGGCAGAGACAGAGACAGGGGCAAGGGCAGGGGAGGGGGCAGAGGCAGGGGCAGATGCAGTGGGAGGGGCCAAGCCGGAGGCAGCGGCAAAGGCAGATCCCAGCATTGGGTCTGGCGGTGGGATCTCCGTTTCTGCTTCCCAAGAGCCGCAAGGTCAAGCAGGCGATGTTGATATGGTAGGCAGCAAGGCAGGTACAGGATCTAGTTCATCTAGTCGGGTAGGTGTCCCCCCCACTGCTCCCTCCATGCCATCCGCTGCCACACCCTCACACCAGGGCTCTGCCCCCGGGGCTGGTTCATCTGGTGGGGCAGGTGCGCTGGGAGAGGGAGGTTCGGAAGTTATGGAAGGTTCGGGTGAAAAGGCAGGTGCAAATGGGAGGGCAGGAGCACGTGAAAGGGAGGCAGGAGAAGCAAAGATGGATGGGGAGAATGGAGGGGAGGGGGAGCGAGTCAGAAGCAATGTGGTGGAGGGTGGAGGGGGGAGCAGTCTGGGAGCTGCTCCTTCAGGTGGATTGTCAGGTAGTTTATCCGACAAGGTAGAGAGCGTTCAGGTGAAAACAGCAGGGCCAGGCGTGGAGCAGGCGTCACCATCGGCAGCAGCAGCAGATGGCCGGCAGACAGGTGCTTTTGATGCGGGCGGCAATAAAATCCAAGAATCTCGGGAAGAACGACCTACGGCAGGCGACAGGAGTCAGAGAGAAGATAGCAGTGTTGTAGTCAACAGGAAAACAATAGAGAATGGTGGAAAGCCCATTAAGGAGGATGGGACTGACAATGAGCCAGAGGCGAAGCGCGGGAGCAGCACCACCATCACCAGCAGCACCAGCAGCAGCACCATCACCAGCACCATCAGCAGTGGGGTAGGAGGGGATGCAAGTAGCACAGCAGCAGGCAATAAAGAGACGGGTACTGGCACAATGGCCGCCAGTGGGACAGCCACTGATGCGACAGCAAGCACTGCAGTAGGCAATAACGGAGCCCTCATTAGTGGAGCTCAGGTGGTCACCAGTACCACCCCCTTCAGCATCAGCAGCAGCGGCAGCAGCTTTGCCGGTGCTGCCAGCAACCTGTATGGGCTCAAGTCGCTGATGCACATGGTGAGGCAGTGGGAGGACAAGCAGGCGGTGCTGGAGCAGTATATTGAAGACATGGCTGCATCGTACGCTGCTAACCTTGCTTCTACGGATGCTGAGCTGCTCTCGTTGAGGACTCGCCTGCGGAATGCTACTGGTACCATCGCAGGGCTGCAGGCGCAGCTGCAGAATGCGGTGAGTGTGTGTTGGGGTGTATGCGATGCGAGGGATGTGTGTGCTTGGATGTGAGGGATGGTTGTGCGTGCACATGGTGAGGGGGTGGGAGGAGAAGCCCGCGGTGCTGGAGCAGTATGTGGACGACATGGCTGCCTCCTATGCGGCTAACCTTGCTTCTACGGATGCTGAGTTGCTCTCGCTGCGCACACGTCTGCGAAATGCCACGGTTACCATTGCAGGGCTGCAGGCACAGCTGCAGAACTCGGTGACTGGGTATTGTTTCTGGTGTTTGGGAGGGATGGATGTGATTCTGTGAGGGCGGGTGTATGTGCTTGTATGGGGGGGATGTGTGGGCGTGCACATGGTGAGGCAGTGGGAGGGCAAGCAGGCGGTGCTGGAGCAGTATGTGGAGGGCATGGCTTCCTCCTATGCTGCTAACCTCGCCTCCACGGATGCCGAACTGTGTGTGTGAGGGATGCGTGTGCAAGGGATGTGCGCTTGTATGCAAGAGATGTATGTGCTTGTATGAGAGGGATGTTTGTGCTTGTTTGAGAGGGGTGTATTTGCTCGTATGAGAGGGATGGATGTGCTTGTATGAGAGGGATGTATGTGCTTGTATGAGAGGGATGCATGTGCTTGTATGAGAGGGAGATATGCGTTTTTTTGCTTGTTTTGAATGTTATTGGTGGAATGTGCACGGACATTGACTTACCGTAGGTGTTGGTTGCTGGCATGATGTATACAGGAGCGGCGGCATGGGAAGGATTTGGAGGACGTGCGAAAGGATGTGTCTGAACAAATGGAGAGCCTTCAACAAAGCATCAATAATGCCAGGTGAGTTGATGCCGTATGTATGCTGTCTCGTGTTGCATTATTTTAGGGTTGCGTCATCTTTTGAATATATTACATTTTCATGTTGTTGGGGTTGGTGCCTTGTTTGTTGTTGCAGAGCGGTCTCTTTAGAACTATCAAGGAGATTAGAAGATATGGTATGGCTGGCTATATTAGTCGCTACAACAGCAGGCGTATTAGGCTTTGTCCTAGGAGTCTCTATCACAAGGCTTTGGAGTAGTAGGATCTACTAGTTTAATGTTCAGGTTAGTATGTATCTAGTGCAGGCTAAGTGTTTATGTTTTTTTTCTAAAATGAAACATCTCGTATTACATCACCCTCTTTTGGTGTCAGTTTAGGAACTGTTTCGCGCCAAATCAGCTAAGCACGCGTCAACGCTGTCACAGCGACACTCGCCCCGTCAAACCCGCGGAGCCCTGTCAGGTGCAGGCCGGTACGGCGAGAAGGGGGTTTTCATTCCGCTTTGCCCCAGCTAGCCATTTCGGTTCGGTTCGGGGCTCCCCTCCCCTCGCGCCTGTCACACAGCCCCAGTAGGGCAGGCTGTATGAACAACTCGCTTTCGTCATTCTTGCAATACAGGTTCGCCGATCGAAACACTCGCAGAGTTGATCTGCTTGGTTACAATCGCGAATCGATGGTACTTTTGCGGGCAGCTCCGGAATGCCGAGTGGCGACACTTCGACGACACCACTGCGAGTTACCTAGCGTGGCTGGCAGAACTTCCGCGTGTCCCCGCTAGCGCCCCATATAATCGAAATGGGGTGTCGGATAGAAACCGTTTGACCAGTGCACTTACGGAAATGCCGAGTCTGCCTACGAAATGTAGATAATGCTGCGGTTCAGTGCGTTAGGAGGTGGTATCTTCGCTCTGTCACGTCTAGAACCACTCTCTTTACATGCACTACCTTCACCAGCACGGCACACTCCCAAGGCATTGCAACAGCAGCAATCAGCCACTCTTGGATAGATAGGTGTTGGTCAGGGCATCGATGCGGTCCGCCTCTTGGTATACGTGATTACTCAACTGTGGGTGCTGAAAACTTAGCTGTATTCAGAGCAGATATTTATTCGTTCACATTTGACCGTATTTATTTCAGTAAGCAAGCCACGCTTAAACATGGGAGCGTGCCTCTCAACGTGTCTCGGCTCTGCGTCGGTCGAAAAGGATAAAGGAAATGTCGACGAAAGCAAGGTTCAGAAGAATCCTGTCGTTGGCGGTAGTCGAACCGGAGACGATAACTGCGACGGGGCGAAGATACAAAACGCTAAGTACCCCAAAGATGATAAGAGCATTCCAATAGGCCTCCGGACCGACTTCGGTTATAAGCGCGACTTCGAGAAGCATTATAAGACCGGGAAGGAGCTGGGACACGGGCAATTCGGGACAACTTATGAGTCGATACAACTAGCGACGGATAATCGCGTGGCCGTCAAGGCAATTCAAAAGAAATCGGTGAGCATCTTAGGAACGTACAAACAGGTCAATGCCTGCTGTACGAAGAGTGTTTGAGAAGGGTACGTACAAACAGGTCAATGCCTGCTGTACGAAGAGTGTTTGAGAAGGGTACGTACAAACAGGTCAATGCCTGCTGTACGAAGAGTGTTTGAGAAGGGTACGTACAAACAGGTCAATGCCTGCTGTACGAAGAGTGTTTGAGAAGGGTACGTACAAACAGGTCAATGCCTGCTGTACGAAGAGTGTTTGAGAAGGGTACGTACAAACAGGTCAATGCCTGCTGTACGAAGAGTGTTTGAGAAGGGTACGTACAAACAGGTCAATGCCTGCTGTACGAAGAGTGTTTGAGAAGGGTACGTACAAACAGGTCAATGCCTGCTGTACGAAGGTAAGGGCGATGCGTTTTTTCCTGCTCGTTACGACGACCTGACGAAAGCATACATGGCCTAATGAGCAGTCCGTTACACAGTGACTGGTTTTGTATCACATTTCAGTCTTACTACCTTCAGTTTTGGGTTGTAGACGCTTCTGGCTCTTATTAATGTTTTGCTTCTGCATCTTTTCTTTTTCCTTCTGCGGATTGCTGACCCGCCATCGCGGTGCTAGAAATAATACCCGTGTACTCTTGTTTCTGTCAGTGAACTGTTGTTTCTGCCCGTATACTCTCGCTACTGCCCGTCTACCCTCGCGCGGCGCGCTGCAGATGAAGCAGCCAATAGCGGTGGAGGATGTGGAGCGGGAGGTGAAGATCCTGCAGCTGTTGTCGGGCCATCCCAACGTGGTTCAGTTTATCGACGTCTTTGAAGACACGGAACTCGTGTACATTGCCATGGAGTGAGTGCGCTATAGCGGGTACTAAGTGCGCACTTGATCAGCTAAGGGTGGCAATCAAGGAGTTGGTTTTTGGCCGTCCCCATGTGGTTCGGATTACTTGTGTCTGTGAATGAACGGAGCGCGTATGACAATCTGTCCTCACGCATCACTTGTCATGCTGTCATGCTGTCATGATGTCATGCTGTCATGCTGTCATGCTATCATGCTGTCATGCTGTCATGCTGTCATGCTGTCATGCTGGCATGCTGTCATGCTGTCATGCTGTCATGCTGTCGTTCTGTCATGCTGTCATGCTGTCATGCTGTCGTTCTGTCCTTCTGTCATCTTCTCATGTTCTTGTTCTTTCCTTTTGTCCGTCCACCTCACGCAGGTTATGTGAAGGAGGAGAGCTGCTTGACAGGATTCTGGGAAAGTGAGTGAGGGTGTTGGTCCGTGAGGGTGGTGGTGAGTGAGGGAGGGTGGGGGCGAGTGAGGGGGAAGGGGGGGTGATTGAGGGGTTGGAGTGGGGGCGAGTGGGCGAGGACTGGGGAGGGTGAGTGAGGATGATGGCTAGTGAGGGGAGAGTGCCAATGCCATCCAAGGAAACCCGTCTGTCCGTCTGTTGTAAACAATTGCGTGCACAACGAATGCGTGCTTATCAAATGCGTCCGTCCGTCCGCCTGCCTGCCTACCCGCCTGTCGGCTTGCTCGCCCGACCACCCACCATGACAGGAAGGACAACCGGAATTCGAAGAAGGGTGAGGCAGATGCTCAACGAGACACTAACGACAAGAGCGCGTGTGCCTGCCTGTCTTTCGGCCCGTCCGTCCATTTGCCTGTCTCTCTGCCTGTTCCTCTGCCCGCCCTCCCACCATGGCAGGAAGGACAACCGGTACTCGGAGAAGGACGCTGCGAGTGTGGTGAGGCAGATGCTCAACGTGGTGGCGCGCTGTCACCTGAACGGCGTCGTGCACCGCGACCTCAAGCCCGAGGTGCGATCATTGTGACCTCAAGTCCGAGGTGCGATCATTGTGACCTCAAGTCCGAGGTGCGATCATTGTGACCTCAAGTCCGAGGTGCGATCATTGTGACCTCAAGTCCGAGGTGCGATCATTGTGACCTCAAGTCCGAGGTGCGATCATTGTGACCTCAAGTCCGAGGTGCGATCATTGTGACCTCAAGTCCGAGGTGCGATTATTGTGACCTCAAGTCCGAGGTGCGATCATTGTGACCTCAAGTCCGAGGTGCGATCATTGTGACCTCAAGTCCGAGGTGCGATTATTGTGACCTCAAGTCCGAGGTGCGATTATTGTGACCTCAAGTCCGAGGTGCGATCATTGTGACCTCAAGTCCGAGGTGCGATCATTGTGACCTCAAGTCCGAGGTGCGATCATTGTGACCTCAAGTCCGAGGTGCGATAATTGTGACCTCAAGTCCGAGGTGCGATTATTGTGACCTCAAGTCCGAGGTGCGATTATTGTGACCTCAAGTCCGAGGTGCGATCATTGTGACCTCAAGTCCGAGGTGCGATCATTGTGACCTCAAGTCCGAGGTGCGATCATTGTGACCTCAAGTCCGAGGTGCGATCATTGTGACCTCAAGTCCGAGGTGCGATTATTGTGACCTCAAGTCCGAGGTGCGATTATTGTGACCTCAAGTCCGAGGTGCGATCATTGTGACCTCAAGTCCGAGGTGCGATCATTGTGACCTCAAGTCCGAGGTGCGATCATTGTGACCTCAAGTCCGAGGTGCGATTATTGTGACCTCAAGTCCGAGGTGCGATCATTGTGACCTCAAGTCCGAGGTGCGATCATTGTGACCTCAAGTCCGAGGTGCGATCATTGTGACCTCAAGTCCGAGGTGCGATTATTGTGACCTCAAGTCCGAGGTGCGATTATTGTGACCTCAAGTCCGAGGTGCGATCATTGTGACCTCAAGTCCGAGGTGCGATCATTGTGACCTCAAGTCCGAGGTGCGATCATTGTGACCTCAAGTCCGAGGTGCGATTATTGTGACCTCAAGTCCGAGGTGCGATTATTGTGACCTCAAGTCCGAGGTGCGATCATTGTGACCTCAAGTCCGAGGTGCGATTATTGTGACCTCAAGTCCGAGGTGCGATCATTGTGACCTCAAGTCCGAGGTGCGATCATTGTGACCTCAAGTCCGAGGTGCGATCATTGTGACCTCAAGTCCGAGGTGCGATTATTGTGACCTCAAGTCCGAGGTGCGATTATTGTGACCTCAAGTCCGAGGTGCGATCATTGTGACCTCAAGTCCGAGGTGCGATTATTGTGACCTCAAGTCCGAGGTGCGATTATTGTGACCTCAAGTCCGAGGTGCGATCATTGTGACCTCAAGTCCGAGGTGCGATCATTGTGACCTCAAGTCCGAGGTGCGATTATTGTGACCTCAAGTCCGAGGTGCGATCATTGTGACCTCAAGTCCGAGGTGCGATCATTGTGACCTCAAGTCCGAGGTGCGATCATTGTGACCTCAAGTCCGAGGTGCGATCATTGTGACCTCAAGTCCGAGGTGCGATCATTGTGACCTCAAGTCCGAGGTGCGATCATTGTGACCTCAAGTCCGAGGTGCGATTATTGTGACCTCAAGTCCGAGGTGCGATCATTGTGACCTCAAGTCCGAGGTGCGATCATTGTGACCTCAAGTCCGAGGTGCGATAATTGTGACCTCAAGTCCGAGGTGCGAGTATTGTGACCTCAAGTCCGAGGTGCGATTATTGTGACCTCAAGTCCGAGGTGCGATCATTGTGACCTCAAGTCCGAGGTGCGATCATTGTGACCTCAAGTCCGAGGTGCGATCATTGTGACCTCAAGTCCGAGGTGCGATCATTGTGACCTCAAGTCCGAGGTGCGATTATTGTGACCTCAAGTCCGAGGTGCGATTATTGTGACCTCAAGTCCGAGGTGCGATCATTGTGACCTCAAGTCCGAGGTGCGATCATTGTGACCTCAAGTCCGAGGTGCGATCATTGTGACCTCAAGTCCGAGGTGCGATTATTGTGACCTCAAGTCCGAGGTGCGATCATTGTGACCTCAAGTCCGAGGTGCGATTATTGTGACCTCAAGTCCGAGGTGCGATTATTGTGACCTCAAGTCCGAGGTGCGATCATTGTGACCTCAAGTCCGAGGTGCGATTATTGTGACCTCAAGTCCGAGGTGCGATCATTGTGACCTCAAGTCCGAGGTGCGATCATTGTGACCTCAAGTCCGAGGTGCGATCATTGTGACCTCAAGTCCGAGGTGCGATTATTGTGACCTCAAGTCCGAGGTGCGATTATTGTGACCTCAAGTCCGAGGTGCGATCATTGTGACCTCAAGTCCGAGGTGCGATCATTGTGACCTCAAGTCCGAGGTGCGATCATTGTGACCTCAAGTCCGAGGTGCGATTATTGTGACCTCAAGTCCGAGGTGCGATTATTGTGACCTCAAGTCCGAGGTGCGATCATTGTGACCTCAAGTCCGAGGTGCGATTATTGTGACCTCAAGTCCGAGGTGCGATCATTGTGACCTCAAGTCCGAGGTGCGATCATTGTGACCTCAAGTCCGAGGTGCGATCATTGTGACCTCAAGTCCGAGGTGCGATTATTGTGACCTCAAGTCCGAGGTGCGATTATTGTGACCTCAAGTCCGAGGTGCGATCATTGTGACCTCAAGTCCGAGGTGCGATTATTGTGACCTCAAGTCCGAGGTGCGATTATTGTGACCTCAAGTCCGAGGTGCGATCATTGTGACCTCAAGTCCGAGGTGCGATCATTGTGACCTCAAGTCCGAGGTGCGACTATTGTGACCTCAAGTCCGAGGTGCGATCATTGTGACCTCAAGTCCGAGGTGCGATCATTGTGACCTCAAGTCCGAGGTGCGATCATTGTGAACTCAAGTCCGAGGTGGGATTGCTTTCGAGCTCGAAGTTAGGTCTATCTCAAGCCAGGGGCTAGACAGGCCGATGTCAAGGCAGGGGTGGGATAGCTGCCACCTCAACGGCGTCGTGCACCGCGACCTCAAGCCTGAGGTGAGAGCTGTTTCAAGCTATTTTGCCCTGACCCCGAGGTGGTATGCATTTGAAGCCAGGGGTTAGACAGGTAGGTTTCAGGGCAGGGGTGGCCCGCTGCCACCTCAACGGCGTCGTGCACCGCGACCTCAAGCCTGAGGTGCGATTGCCTATGGGTGGCAAGCCCGAGGTGCGATAGCTTATGGGTGGCAAGCCCGAGGTGACCTCAACCCGAGGTGCATTGGCCTGAAGCCTGGGGGGAGACGGCTGAGAGGTACCTCAGGTGCGATAGCCTATGGGTGGCAAGCCCGAGGTGCGATAGCCTATGGGTGGCAAGCCAGGAGCGAGAAAGGTCTCCACTCCAGGCAGATGTGAGATAGGTGTCGATCTAGGGTCGATCTCCTCTGCATCACTCCCACCTTCAGTCATCCCTTCGCACCCCTCTCCACCCATCTGTGTTGCGCAGAACTTTCTGTTCGCCAACAAGACGGAGGAATCACCTCTCAAGGCCACCGACTTTGGCCTCTCGGACTTCAGAAAGCCAGGTAAGATGGGATGGGAAGGGGAGCGGCGATAGGTGGGATGGGATGGGAAGGGAAGCGGAGATAGCTCTGGTTTGGAGTCAACTCAAAGGACTCGCCTCTCAAGGCCACCGACTTTGGCCTCTCGGACTTAAGAAAGCCGGGTGAGTGGCACACCTGGGGGGGTGGGGGGAGTGCGAGGGCGGGGGATAAAGAGGGGCCCGCCCACCTGGGGATGTGGGGGATGCGAGGGGAGATGTTTTAGTTGACTCAAAATCGGAGGAATCGCCTCTTGAGGCCACCGACTTTGGCCTCTCGGACTTGAGAAAACCAGGTGAGTGGCGCGCCCGGGCGGGGGAGGGGTGGGGGAGGTGCAAGGACGGGGGAATAAAGAGGGGCCGAGAAGGCGAGAGGGTGATTTAGTTGACTCAGCCCCCCCATCCCATTTCACCCCTCTCTATCCCACCCCACCGCACTCAACCCCAGGCAAGCACTTCACGGTTGTGGTGGGCAGCACCTACTATGTGGCTCCAAGAGGTGATCAACGGGAGGTCTGTCCTGCTCACACCAACCTCACCCCACCCCATTTCACCCCCCTCTACCTCACTCCACCGCACTTCACCATCCTCTCTTCCCCAGGCAAGCACTTCACGGACGTGGTGGGCAGCGCCTACTACGTGGCTCCTGAGGTGCTCAAGAGGCGATCAAGAGGAGGTCTTCCCTGCTCACGCCAACCCCACTCCTCCCCACACGACCCCACCCCTCTCAACCCCAGGCAAGCACTTCACGGACGTGGTGGGCAGCGCCTATTACGTGGCTCCCGAGGTCCTCAAGAGGCGGTCGGGGCCGGAGAGTGACGTGTGGAGCATCGGGGTCATCACGTATATCTTGCTGTCTGGCAGACGACCGTTCTGGGATAAAACAGAGGCCGGCATTTTCAATGAGGTGCGGGGAAGTAGGGGGGTTGAAGTGAGGGAGAGGGAGATGGGGGGGAAGAGAGAGGGATAAGAGTGAGAGTAACGTGTGGAGCTTTGGCGTCATTACGTACACCTTGCTGCCTGGGAGACGACCTTTCTGGGATAAAACAGAGGGGGAATAGATGGGGCAGAGGGCGGTTGAGAGTGGCAAAGGAGCATCGGCGCATTGGGGTGGAGAAGAAATGGGAGCGTAGGGTCACATTTTGAGTCGACTCAGAAGAAATGGGAGCGTAGGGTCACAGGAAAGGTAAACGTTGTCCCTGTTATCACTTTAGTTATCCCTCTATTCACTTTCTATTCACTCTCTATGCACTCTTTATTCCCTCTCTATTCACTCTTTATTCACCTCCCCTCTGTCCCATGCGATCCCACCAGTAGCTAAAGAAGAAGCCGGACTTCAGGGAGAAGCCATGGCCGCAGATATGTTGTTCACTCTATTCTCTCTGCATGGTTTTTGAGAATTCTCAAAAACCAGCTACTCACTCTGCATTTACCCTGTTGTGCCCCTCTGTCCCATGCTAATCCTCCAGGTGCTCAAGATGATCTCGGACTTCAGGGGGAAACCGTGGCCGCAGGATCTCAGCTGCTTTCCCTGGGAGAGGGGTAGAGAGAGGTTGAGAGTGGCAGTGGATAATCCGTGTTTCTCACTCTCCCCATCCCACCAGGTGCTGAAGAAGAAACCCGACTTCAGGGAGAAGCCATGGCCGCAGATCTCCACCAGCGCCAAGGACTTTGTCAAGAAGCTGCTCAAGAAGGACCCCCGTGCTCGCCCCACCGCTGCACAAGCCCTGTGTGAGTCAAGTCAACGCCCTCCCTGCCTAGTAGCCATGTGTGAGTCAATGCTGTACAGATCTCATCCAGCCGGCGCCAAGGAATTTGTCAAGAAGCTGCTCAAGAAGGACCCTCGCGCCCGCCCCACCGCTGCGCAAGCCCTGTGTGAGTCAACGCGCGGCCTTTGAGACGTGCATTGTGGGTGGGCGTACAGTGCAGTGATATCCAACATCCCCGTTGGCCACAGCAGTGTGTCATCTCCCCGCATTCCTTCCTATGTTGCCCGTTCCCACCTTTCTCCCTCCCCTCCCCTCCCCTCCCCTCCCCTCCCCTCCCCTCCCCTCCCCTCCCCTCCCCTCCCCTCCCCTCCCCTCCCCTCCCCTTCACCCCTCCCCTCCACCCCACAACCAGCGCACCCATGGGTGAAGGAGGGAGGCAACGCGTCATCCATCCCGCTTGACATAGCCGTGCTGTCATCTATCAGCTTTCCTTCCCCTCTTGGCCGTTCACACACCTATTTCCCCCCTCCCCACCACCCCACCACCAGCTCACCCATGGGTGAAGGAGGGAGGCAATGCTTCGTCCATCCCGCTGGACATAGCAGTGCTGTCCAACATGCGGGAGTTTGTCAAGTACTCACGCCTCAAGCAGATGGCGCTCAAGGTGAGAGCAAGCACGCACAGCAAGCACGCACAGCAAGCACGCACAGCAAGCACGCACAGCAAGCACGCACAGCAAGCACGCACAGCAAGCACGCACAGCAAGCACGCACAGCAAGCACGCACAGCAAGCACGCACAGCAAGCACGCACAGCAAGCACGCACAGCAAGCACGCACAGCAAGCACGCACAGCAAGCACGCACAGCAAGCACGCACAGCAAGCACGCACAGCAAGCACGCACAGCAAGCACGCACAGCAAGCACGCACAGCAAGCACGCACAGCAAGCACGCACAGCAAGCACGCACAGCAAGCACGCACCACATGCACGCACGCAAGTGTGGTGGTGGTGAAGGTGAGTGGTGCCATCCCCCCCATGTCCCATCGTCCATCCCGCTGGACATAGCAGTGCTGTCCAACATCCGCGAGTTCGTCAAGTACTCGTGCCTCAAGCAGATGACGCTCAATGTGGGTTTACTGCTTGCTGTAATTCCACAGTGCCACACAGCTGGTGTGCTGTGCTGGTTGATAGAGCGATCTCCTGTGCAATGTGCGCAGAGTTTGTTAGTACTCGCGTCCAAGGGACCAGCTCAACAATGCTTGTTTGCTCCAATGCTGCTCGTGTCCCAACTTGTCCTCATTGCCTTTCCTCCTCCTTTTCACCAGGCGCTAGCGACCACTTTGGAGAGCACGGAGGTGCAGCAGCTGAGGGACCAGTTCAACGCAATGGACATCAATGGGGACGGCACCATCACCATCGATGAAATCCGACATGTGAGCTGCTTGCTGGCATGACAAGAGACGGCATGAGCACCCAATAGCACAGCTTGTTAGCGCCTCAAAAGACATCAATGGGGACAGCCCCATCACCATCAATGAAATCCGACATGTGAGTCCGTGCTAGCATGTCAAGAGATGACATGTGAGCTCCTTGCTAGCACACCTTGTGAGCGCCTCGAAAAGCGTCAGCTGGGATGGCAGCATCACCATCATCAACAACGTGATCCGACATGTGAGCTGCTTGTTGGCATGTCTAGAGATGGGCTATTTGGGGCACCTCCATGGACGTGAACCAGGTGACTTTTGAGTCGACTCAAAAGTCACCTATGACATGTGAGCTGCTTGCTGGCATGTCTAGAGACGGGATATTTGGGGCACCTCCATGGACGTGAACCAACAGGGATGGGCACCATCACCATTGATGAAATCCGACATGTGAGCTCGGTGTCACTACTAGCACACCACACCCTCACGCGCGCGCTGAAATCAGCTGAGTGCTGTCTTAGCTCAACGTATTTGCTTCTGAGTGCTGCCTCCTCACCAATCCCCTGAATTCTCCTCCTGTCATTTGCCGTCTCATCCCCCCTCCCGGTGTGTTCCTGTTTCCCATGCGCCAGGCGCTCAACAAGGACCTGCCGTACGAAGTGAAGGAGACCAAAGTGGTGCAGATCTTGCAAGCGGTGAGTCCACTCCACACTGCCAGCAGCACTTGCATGTTCACCTTGCACGCTGGCCTCTGCCGTTTCAGCTTGCCCTTGCATGCGCCAGGCGCTCAACAAGGACCTCCCGTATGAAGTGAAGGAGTCCGAAGTGGTGCAGATCCTGCAAGCTGTGAGTCCACTCTGCCTGCAAGGACACCACGCCTGTGCTCACTCATAATGCCTGCGCTCACTCATAACGCCTGCGCTCACTCATAACGCCTGCGCTCACTCATAACGCCTGCGCTCACTCATCACGCCTGCGCTCACTCATAACGCCTGCGCTCACTCATCACGCCTGCGCTCACTCATCACGCCTGCGCTCACTCATCACGCCTGTGCTCACTCATAACGCCTGTGCACTCCACTGCCAGCAGGATGCCCTGGCATGCTGCTGGCGCGTGCACTTTCTTCGCGCCCCCTTGTTGGCCTTTGAGAAGCCAAGGGCGCAGGCCTTGTTGGCCTTTGAGAAGCCAATACAGCAACAACGATCACAATCCTTGCCTTGAATCTGTTATGGCATCACACACTGCGTCGACTCTATTTGAAGAGTTTGTATCGGCCACGCTGCACGTGCAGCAGCTGGAGGAGGCCGATTTGGCCAAGTAGGAGAAGTGTGCCTCCTGTTGTTCCTCACATCTTATGCGTCAGCAGCTGGAGGAGGCTGACCCATTGAGGCACAACTTTCGCCCCTCATTCCATTCCATCCTTTCCCAACCTCACGCTCCTTCCCAACCCCTTGCTGCATGCAGATCGACACCAACTGTGATGGATTGGAATCGTCGATTTCGATGAGTTTGTGGCGGCCACGCTGCACGTGCAGCAGCTGGAGGAGGCTGATTGTTGAGGCGCAACTCTCACCCCTCATTCCCACGCCTCCTGCCCCTCCACCCACGCAGATGGACACCAACTGTGACGGCATCATTGATTTTGACGAGTTTGTGGCGGCCACGCTGCACGTGCAGCAGCTGGAGGAGGCTGATTCAGCCAAGTGGGAGGAGCGCTCCAAGGCAGCATTCAACCACTTCGACACGGATGGAGATGGCTTCATCGACGCGGAGGAGCTGAGAGTGGTGAGATGGTGTTGCAAAGGGTCGGGGGTGGTCGTGTGCGGTTAAGATGGGTCTGATTGGTGAGGATAGTGGAAGGTGTTTCTTCCTACAGGCGGCACAATAACGGGGTTGTGGGCGCGATTAGTGGACGAGGAGGAGGACGGGATGATGAACATTCTTTAACCGTTCCAATAATGTACCTTTTCGTCTCCTCCCTCCCTTCTCCCTCTGCTTGCAAGCAGGCGGCGCAGATGAAGGGGTCGCTGGGGCGATTGATACACGCATCAATGTGGATGGGAAGGGTCGCATCAGCTTGCTGACTCCCTTTTTCCCCCTCCCCTCTCTCTTCCCCCCTCTCCTCTTTCTTCCTCCCTTTCCCCTCTGCTTGCAAACAGGCGGCGCAAGTGAAGGGGTCGCTGGGGCGATTGATAGACGAGGGGGATGTTGACGGGGATGGGCGAATCAGCTTGCCCGAGTTTCAGAAGCTTCTGCGCTGCGCCAGCATTAACTCTCGCACTAACACCACCTCGCGATCGCGCGGCCGCTCGGGCTTCGGAGCAATTGCTGAGTAGACTCTCTTTGTATGCTAACCCAACTTCCTGTACCTGGTGCTTTTGGTTAATCTCAGAAGTGATTCTAGCTGAAACATTGGAGCACTTGCCACTAGATCTCTGTTTTGCTAACCGAATTCCTTTCTAGGTAAGCAGTGCTTAGATCCATGTTTCTACAATGCTGGTCTTTGGCTTTATTGGAGTTAGGTTCATATCTGTATCATTTATTACTATGCAAACATATTTGTAGTAAATCTGATGTGCCCAATTCACATGGAATAGTATTCCTTATCGAGCGGTTGGACTTTCGCGGGTAATAGCTGGTGTGTTTAAAACACGGAACGGTCTGGTACGGTGGCAAACCACCTAGGTTTCAGTGAAGAATTATAAAGAGGACAGCTCAACCTTTCCTGTCTCCAGAAATTCACGAATTCCACTAATCTTCCACCCTTCCACCACCGAACGCACTGGTTGGGAGGTGCTTGGGGCTTCCACGAATTCGCTTGACCAGAATAGTCTTGTCGCTGGCCCTTGTATCTGCGTGCGGTCTGGTAACCTCGCGATTATCCTCGTCCTCGTCGTGGTTCGCGCGGATGGAGGAGGACTGGGAGGAGGAGGAGGTTGTCGACGCGTCGCAACAAGGCGCGTCGCAAGGGGAGGACGACAGGACGTACATTGGAAGCGTGCTCGTCAACATCAAGGGCCTGCAATACTACCCGGGAACCGTGAATCCGCGAGAGGTTCGTTTCGGCATGAGTGTAGGTCATCTTTATATACATACTAGTAGTCTGCTTGTGATCATCAAAGGCCTGCAATGCTACCCGGGGAACGTGAACCTGCCAGTCCCGCTTTTCTCATTACATGCGCTTCCGCTTTCATACTTCTGTTCCATCCATCCCCGTGGCATAAGATGGTTTTATGGCATGATTGAAACCCATGATCAACCCAACGTCCAGATGGTTCGGCTCATTCGGGAGCCCAATAACGCGTACGACCGCAACGCCATTCGCGTGGACAACATCAGAGGGCAGAAGGTGGGCCACGTGGAGGCCAAAATGGCCTGCCACCTGGCGCCGCTTGTCGACGCGGGATTGGTCGCAATCGAAGGTCTGGTGACGCGTGGGACAAAGAACATTTACCAAATGCCGTGCCACGTGTGCCTCTTCTGCTCTCCTGAATCAGCTCCTGAGGCTGCATCCCGCCTGCTCTCTGCCAGAGTGGCTCTGGTGGAAACCAACAGCCTCCCTGGTTCTGACACTTTCGGGGAAGCTTCCCCCTCTGGTTCGTTACAGGCTGCTTCGGCTGCTGCGTCAGTGGCTGCTGCTTTGGCAGCGCGACGAGCCGCGATGAGCCAAGCAGAACAGGACAAGGCGGTCTTATCCATGTTTGATGACCTGGCATGCCAGGTGGAAGCGGATCGGCCCACCGCGGATCCGCCTTGCCACGTCATCAGGTCGTCCCTCCTGCCACATCAGCAACGGGCGCTGGCGTGGATGATCAAGCGGGAAAGCGCGAAGAAGCTTCCACCGTTTTGGAAAGCCGGGGCCTTAGAATCTGGGAGCAGCAGCAAAGGGAAGAGAGGAGGGAGAGGAGGAGGAGGGAGGGGGGCCGGGAGACAGGGCAGGGGAGGCCGGGGAAGAGGAAGTGAGGTACAGGGAGGGGGTGCAGGAGGGGTGGAGGGAGGAGCGGGAGGGGGAGATGGGGAGGAGGACGATGGAGATGATGGGGGGGAGGGCGGGGGGCGAGTGTTCACCAACATTCTCACCAACTTCACGACAGAGGAGAGGCCTAAGGCGCTGAGGGGAGGAATTCTGGCTGATGACATGGGGCTGGGGAAAACGCTCTCCCTGCTCTCCCTTGTCGCTTCAACCTCTGCTGCTGCTGCTGACGCTGGTGAAACACAAGCTATCGGCACCTCCTCCACTGGTGCTGCTGATGGGGTGCAAGGGGAGCAGAGCAGGGCGACGCTAGTGGTGTGCCCTCTGTCCGTTCTCTCCAACTGGACGGCACAGCTGGCAGAGCACGTGGCACCAGGAGCGCTGAGCTACTATGTGTACCACGGGGCAGAGCGTGTGAGAGACCCGAGCTTCCTCTCTGGCTTTGACCTTGTCTTTACCACCTACAACATCCTCGCTTCTGAGTGCCCCCCTTCCTCTGCCTCCACTGCTGCTGCAGCTGCTGGTGGTGCTGCTGCTGGTGCTGCTGGTGGTTCTTCTGCTGGTGCTGGTAGGGGCGGGGCAAGGGGAATGGCAGAGGCACAGTATGCTGACAGTCCGCCGCCCTCCCCGCCTTCCATTCCGGGGTGCCCAGGAATGCTCATGCCGGCTTATGCGGGCATGCCAGGGGCGCGGGGAAGGAAGAGGAAGGCGCCAGGGGCCGCAGCGCAAGGGCAGAGGAAGCGAGGGGGGATGGCAGGGACGGCGGGAGGAGCAGGGAGCAGTAGTAGGAGCACTGCAGGAGCTTCAACAGCAGGAGGAGCGGGAGCAGAGACAGCAGGTGGAGGGCCATTGATGCAGGTGAAATGGAGGCGGGTGATTCTAGACGAAGCGCACGTGATCAAATCCGTGCGGACGCGGGCTGCGCGGGCGGTGACAGCACTGCAGGCGGAGAGGCGGTGGGCAGTGACGGGCACTCCGGTGCAGAACCAGCTGGGGGATCTCTTCTCGCTGCTCTGCTTCCTGCGCCTTGATCCTCTTAATGATCGTTTGATCTGGACCCGCGCGATCGAGCGGCCAATGAGGGAGCGCCAGCACATTGGGCTGGACAGATTGAGGGTATGCTCGAGTGGAGGCATGGGGGTGTTCGTGTGCGGTTAGAGGTTGGCTGGGTTGTGTGTGTGTGCATCCATCTTCCAGAGGCCACCTTTTTTACTCCCACCCTTCTTGCCTCACCCCAACAGGCACTGGTTCTCACGACGGCTCTAAGGCGCACCAAGGACATGCAGGTGAATGGCCGGCCGCTGCTGTCACTCCCTCCGAAGACTGTACGAGTGCTGCCAATCGACTTGCTGCCAGAGGATCGGGATCTTTACGACCAGTGAGCGTTTTCTTTTCTTTTCTTTTCTTTTCTTTTAGGCTGGATGCTGTGTAGGTCACGGGTGTCTGTGCTGCTGGCAGTGACTGTTCACCGTTTGTTTTTTTGGAGCCTGTGTGAGTGCTCCCAGTCGACATGCTGTCAGAGAATCGAGATTTCCACGACCAATGAGGATAGCCCTTTGGTGTGACTGTTCACTAGTGATTGCACACGAGTCACTGCACTTGTGATCGCACATGAGTCACTTGTACATGTATCACTTGCACACATGTATCACCGTTCACTCACCCGTTGCTTTGTACTGTTAACACCATACTCTCGATATTTTTGCTACCTCACCCCTCCACTACACCCACCCTCATTGTTGTCTCCCAGAGTGCAGGAGGAGGTGCGGCGCCTTGTGGGTGGCATGATGGCACAGGGTACGTTGATGAAGAACTATGCTACAGTGCTCGAGATGATCCTACGGCTCAGACAGATCGCAGACCACAAAGGCCTCTGTCCGCCGCACGTTCTTGAGGCCATTGCTGCGTCTGCTGCTGCAGCAGAAGAAGCAGACAGAAACCAGGATGCAAAAGGTGCGCAAGAATATAAACCATAATGAGGAGTTCTGAATTGGGGGTTTGTATGTTGACAATTGTACGAGATGCTCGTTTCTTGGCCATTCTTATTTCAATCTGTGTTTCCTTCTTCCCAACTCACCGCATTTCTTCAGCTGCAGTTCCTTTGGATCCCCTTCTGAGTCAGAAGCTTCAGGAACTTCTGGCAGCAGGAGCAGCCGACGAGGACTGTCCCATCTGCCTCTCTCCTCCCACTCTTCCTGTCATCACACCCTGCTCTCACATCTTCTGCCGCCGCTGCATTCGCCGGGTTTTATCCATCCAGAAGCATGCCTGCCCCATGTGCAGAGCGCCAGTAGATGAGGCTCATCTGGTGGAGGCTCCACCTGATGCTGCAGAAGGAGAGGGTAGTGGCGCTAATGGGGATCATTCCAAGGGGGGCTTGATGGAAGGGGTTGAGGGGAATACAAGTGCCAAGATTGATGCCCTTATTGCTGCTCTCCGTGAGCCTCTTCAGGTGCCACCAGGGTACCAACCTCCAGAGGGTGGAGCTGCTATTGCAGGGCCTAGTGCAATGGGAGGAGGTGATGGGCGTCAGCAGCAGAGGGTTAAGAGTGTTGTGTTTTCTCAGTTCACTCGAATGCTGGATTTGGTGTATGAGAGGTTACAGGCTGCAGGATTCAAGTGCTGTAGATTGGATGGCCGCACCAAGCTAAGTGTGAGGGAGAAGGCTATTGCAGAGTTCAACCGAGTGGATGACGATTCTCCTACAGTTTTCCTTGTGGGGCTCAGAGCAGCAGGTGAGAGTGCACATGTTCCTAGCGATTATTGTTTTGTATGTCCGTTTCTGAAGTCCACTTGGTCTTAGCTTCTACATTTGTTGATGTTGGTCGTTGGCAGGTGTGGGTCTGAACCTTACAGCTGCATCACGTGTGTTTCTGCTTGAACCTTGGTGGAACCCTGCTGTGGAGCAACAAGCAATGGACCGAGTCCATCGCATTGGACAGGTACAGTATGGGGGTTTGTGATGCTTAAAATTTGGACAAGCTGACACGTATACAGTCAACATTGAATTTTGTGCTACTGTGCTGCTTTCATGTGCAGGAAAATCTGGTGGATGTCGTGAGAATGGTTGCTGCTGACAGCATAGAAGAACGAATGCTGGTGCTTCAGGAGAGAAAAAGAGCAATTGCACGTGCTGCCTTTGAACGTAGATCCGCTGAAGATCAGCAACTACTTCGGATGGATGATGTGCGTCTGCTGATGGACATGTAAGTGTCACGCGCTGTACCATAAAAAATGTAATAGATATATGGGTTGCGACTTTCCGTTCCCGAACTCAGTCTGGATGCACTCATTCTTCAAGATGTCTTTCCGCAATAGCTGGTTGCATACGGTCGAAGACATCTTGTGCCGACCGGAGCCTTGTTCCAATTTCATCATTCATGGACTCCAATTCCTTGATTTCTTCGAGTTGGCGTTGCCAAATTGCAACTTGATTTTCATGAATCCTGCGACGCACAATGGTGAATACAATAGGACGGATCTGCAGCCAAACAGAATCTAGTGTCTGATTCCTCGACTTACTGAACGAGCTGCTCCTCCCATGCTGCGTGAGCGGCGGACAGAGCTTGTTTCCCAGCATCAAGAATTGCGCAAAGCTGACAACAAAAAGAACGCGTCAGCTTGAGCTTTTCAATGCGAAGCAACGCTGAGAGTCAAAAAAACCTTTTGTGTGAATTCTTCTATTCTTTTGTGAGCTCCCGCCACTGCAGGACTAGGCTCTCCATCTCGTGCTTCACGCGAATCTGGTTGTCCAGCAGTATCATCCTGCGTGTCCGTCTTTTGAGAAGAATCTTCTCTTTGCCTCTTCAGCATTGGTTCCACATCATTGTCGCGCTGCATGAATGGCATGAACGATTTAGAATACAGAATCCATTCGTAATGGATGTACTTCGCGTACACACCTCGTGGCTGGCAGTGGTATCCATAGCAACTAAGGCGATGTTGAAGGTATGAGGTGATGAAGCCGAGTCAAATGTCGAGATGGAAGGTAGAACAAGCAGTTATGTGGAATTGCTGGGACTTGTTGAGATTGAAGGTCATCAGTCACACAACCAACCCCGAGAGTCCCGTGTTGGCGGCGCGCCTGGATCGATATAGGGTGTGAGTGACTCCACATTGTATATTGACTAACCCCAGAAAATGTAAACGGTTTTTGTACAACAATCGCTAATAGTTTTGTTCCAATTCCCCATTGAATCGCACCCATTCCCATAAAAGTCATGCGTGTTCACATTCCATCACACTCGCTACCATCACATCACACCAAGCGTGTAACGACACGACCCACGACATGAACCGCTCACGTTCGATCGCGTGCAGCGAACGGCTCAAAACCGTCGTCAATCTTCATCCCCTACAGCTCACTTCACCACGCGCATTTCGCTACGTTTCCCAAACAGAGAAATCCTTCCGAACAAAGTCCCCCTTCCCCCCACCTTCGGCATCTTTCCCGATCTTTTCCGCTTCTGCCGTCCCCTCCCCCATCCCTTCTCCTTCCTTACCTTTCTCACCTCCATGGTTGATATTTCCCTCCAGCATACTCAGTTTCAAAGCCAACGCAGTAGCTAGCAAAGCCCAAACGCATCAAATTCGGCATCACGATTCACTGCCGTCGTTTCCATCCTATCGTGCCGCGTTCACCCCTCCCCATTTCCCACCTACCCACCTCCCAGGGTTCCGTATCTAGACTGTCTTCCTATTTCGCACTTATCTCGTCTTGAGTGTCAAGGTCGAGTAAGAGCGCTGTCAAAAAGGCCCAATTCCTTTTTCCACTTATCCAGTTCTCTATTTTCAAGCCCTGCTCGTTGCAACGAGCCATGAGGGCCAACTCACTTGAACCCATGGATAATAGGATCGCGGGGATTGAGGATAACCTAAATAGGATGCATATCCGGCCTTCGCCAGGCCACCCTTCGTCAGTCGGCCCCTCGCCACTCCACCCTTCAGCAGGACACCCGTCGCATGTCAACCGAGCCGCGATGGAGCAGTGGATGTCGTCGCAGCACCAGAACTTCGCCAACAGCCCTTCGCCACAGCACCATCTCTTCGCCAACAGTCCTTCACCACAGCATCATCTGTTTGGCAACAGCCCACTGAACAGCCTTCCCACATTCGACCAGCTGAGCGAGAGGCACCGGCACTCCCACAAGCACCGGCATCGGAAACAGGACGGCTCAGGGAAGGACAGAATCGCGCGACGAATCTCCGAGGATGCTTCCAGTGTATCGTCGGTAGGTTACCATACAGACCCTGCCGTCCGCGCGGAACCTTCTTGGACGGTGCGGTCAGTGGAATCAGCGGCTTCCGTTCCTCCTGTTCTCCAGACAGTCAAAAGTCCCGCGCATCCTGCTCCGTATCACCCGCAGCGGAGCCACCTTGCCGGCGTTGCTCCCGCATCTGCCGCTCCTTCCGGGCGTGGGGCTTCAGAAGCCGCGGGTTCGACGCTCACCCAATACCCGCCGCAGTTTCCCCAGGCTCTGCGGAACTGCTACTCCGCCCCGCAACCCGGCGAGTCGGAAACGTGCGTGCTCTCCCGGCAGCTCGCCGGCGCGCGGGAGGTTAAAGTTATGGCTCGCGACGCGGCGGTATGCGCCCCCATGGTTGAAATGGGAGCAGCGAAAGTGCTCTTGTCGCTTGTTGACAGCGTGATAGAAGCGGAGGAAGGAAGGGAGTTCATGGATTCGCGGTATCAGGTTGCCGAGGAGGCAGCTGCCGCGCTGCTGAATCTGTCTCTAGATAAGACCGCCAAGCACATGATGAGGAGCCATGGCATCATCCCTACCATTGTGAGGTTGGCTGACATCAAACGCAGCAGTCCGGACTGCCCTGACGGTGCCAGTGGTAATGCTCATAATTTACCCAACAGTGCCCAGCAGAATGACACCAGCAGCTGTTCTGGTGGTAACGCCAGGACCGACACCTCCACCCGCACCAGCTCCGCGCATCTGCCCCTTCGAGAGCTCGCAGTGGCGGTTATCCACAGTCTTGCACAGTCAACAACGCTGAAAGAAGATTTAGTGGATCAGTGGGTGGTGCAGCCGCTGGTAGGCCTGTTGAGGGAGCCAGCATGCAGCAAGGAGGGACAGAAGGACGCCTTGTATGCGCTCTACCTCTTATCAATGTGCGAGTCTGGGAGGTTGGCTCTGTCATATCGCGGCGCTGTGCCTTTGCTGCTGGAGGTGGCACTGTGCGGCACGCAAAGAAGTGGCCATCTGTATGCGAAGCAGTCAGGAAGATTCTTTGACAAGGCCATTCATGCAGTGGCAAATGTATCCGAGGAGCGATCAGGACTTTCTGCTTTAGTAAGCAGCAAAATTAATTACTGGTCTAGTGAAGATGGTGCTGCTGGCTCTGATGGCTGCCCTCAAATTGAGCATGGGAGCTACATTGAAGTTTCGGGACTACAAGTGCTTTTCAAGCTGCTTGCAAATGGGAGCGAGGTGACGAAGCAGCATGCTGTTTCGACTCTGCACGGGATTGTCAGAAATGCTGGGCAATGCGGTGCGCAAGTTTTAGATGAGATCTGGTCCTTGCGGCAGAAGGAGAAGCCGAGGCCCCATTTGGGGGCTTTAGCAAACGCTGGATCGGCCAAAGCCCAGCAACTCTTGATGGTGTTGTTTCCTGCCAAGGTGGCCAAAGAAGCAGCGACAGGCTGACTTGTCTAGTGCCGTTGTGAACTGCTATTCCATCAGCTGGAAGGGGCTCTTGTTTGATTTCACTGGTGTTCGTAACCTGATTGTATGAATGAGGTTTAGGTGGGTTGAAAAGACTTCAACGCAATTTTACAGGATTCCGAATCCGCTTATACGTCACCTCGCGTGCCAGCTGCCTGTCGCACCTTCTCAGTCGGTGTAGGGCGCAGTCATTTCATATCCCCAAACCAACACGGCGTTTCCCCGTGCGCCACGCGCGGAATGGGGAAGCCAGTGGGGTCGGAGGATTTGGACCAATGAACGGCGGCGGTCCCCTATCGTCTGCGGTTCAAATCATGACTTGCGCTGGGTGTACAGTTTCTTCGTCCTTCCCAACTCACATTAGCGGAGCCGCTGTATGCTGTCCACGTTGACGCCACTGGCCAACAGCCATCAGGTATTTACAATTGTACAATTGTCGTAGATCTATTTCTGAACGGTCTGGATTCATCTGTATCCAGCTTGATTGTTCTGGTAGGACCAATGAAATGCTGCAACCACGCTATCAATGGCAGGTGGGCAGTGGAGGGATTTGCCCGATGAAAACAATCAACTTATCCTTTAGACCACTCTATACCACATGAAACGCCTTCACGACACAGCTGCTCCTCTTGCTGCACACAAGGTCTGAATGCACAAGAATCTGTCCACGACTCTCCCCAAACCATAGACCAAGGGTCTCAAAAGTCCTAAACTTTCTCGTTCCGTCTTTCCCGTCCTTTATTCACCACGAGTAGAGTCTGTTCTAGTGTCTAGTGTTCACAGGGTTCGATTGCGCGAGCTTAGTATTGCGTAGCTGCTGACGATTGGTCATAACTAGCTAGTATGAACGATTTACCTGTTCATCCGCGAGTGCAGGTACCAGGCTTCCAGAAAAAACTTCTCAGGGCGAACCGAGTCAAAGCTGCATTAGAAAGCATCAGGACTGCAGACCGCAGCAACAACAACAACGGTTGCAGCGATGGTTCCAGCTCCGGAGATGTAGTTTCTACCGCGCATCGAACCAGGCTAAGGGACAATGAAGAAAGTTTGCCGGCTCTTCCGGATACCTATGGCCGTCGTTTCAGTGCTCAAGACAATCACGTAAACTTCTCTGCTCTAACAAATAGCTACGAGAGTTCTGTCACCATCGGGTCTACTGTACCAGCCGCTGGCTCTTCTCATCCTCTTCTTCCCCCTCCTCCTTGTCCTACGCCTCCTGAGGTTCCAGGCGGTTACGCTTTCGGTAACTCCGCTGGTTACAGCTTCGGTCAGCCAACAAGCCACGGATTTTCCCCTTCAATATCCCGCGACCTGGACGGTCCCTCTGCTTCCCGCTCCACTCTTGCTCCCACCTGTTCCGAAGCCTCTTGCCGGAGCATCAGCTCCCGCACAGACACCACTGACACGGAATCTTTGAATTCTCCAGCTTCGTCAAACAGATACTCCGCGCTCGTGCGACCAGTGCTATCAAACGACGCGGTGGCGGAGGTACGGGCAAAGGAACCGGTGCAAAGCCACCATGTAGGGAGGCAGCGG